CGCGAACCGCCCCCGACCCGGCCCGGGACTACCCTGTGGGCCGCCGCCGCCGCCTCCCTCCCTCCCTGCGGCCGGAGCCCCGGGCCCCGCCGACTCCCGCACCTCCTCCGCCCGTGCGGCCACCGGCAGCACCGTGAGGCAAGGGAAGGAGACCACTCCAGGCTCTTCTGCAGCGTTTTCCCGTCTGGAGACGAGGTTAGGAGACTTTTGGAAGACAGGAGAGGAGCTTTGGGAGACACGTGAGGTCCACGCTTTGTTTTGAACTCTCTTCACCCAAAAATTATCTTAAGCAGAGGTGCCCGGAGCCGCACGGCTCTGCCTCCACGCTTCCCTCCCGCTCTCAACACCCTTCACGAAATTCTGGTTTTGCTCATGGTTACCCGTTGCTTTATTTCCACTCGTGTCTCTGCCCACCCCCCATCACGCTGCGACAAGTTTCTTGGTGACTTCCCCAACGCTGTCCTGGCCTCAGGCCGGGAGCTGATGGAAGCCCCGTCTTGGTGATGCCATCCTCAGCCCCTCTCCTCCCCATCCTGGGTGGATGGCATGGTGGGCTCTGGGCCACTGCGGTCACCACCATCGCTGGAACAGCTGGGATGACAATGGGCCACCTTCCTCCCACCTTGACCGCGGCACTCAAGGAGGGAGAGAGCAAGTGTGCTGACCCAACATGGCAAAACCCTTTTCTTCTGATACTGGAGTAGACAGCAGACACATTCAGAGCAGAAAAGTTAATGAAATATCACAGGAAAAAAAGCCATTTTCTGCAATATTCATGCACAGCATTAGAGGGTTGGGTTTTTTTTAGAAAGTACTTGACTTCATTTTAACATTGTATTTAATATGATCTTTTTCTACTTGAACATTTTAATAGTATTTTTCTTTCCACATCTTCTCAGTAAGCGAAACTGAGTCGCTGCACGTATCTTCTGCTTGTATGGCCCTGGGCAGAACAGATCATGTAATTTTTTTAAAAGATTACTGAGAGAAGATAACTTAAAATTTGCACTGCACACAAATTAGCTTCTCCTAAGATGCCTACCTGGGAGCACGTCTTATTTCTGCTCTATAAACAACCTTCTTAGAATAGGAAATAAGATTTTAGGAGATAAATTCAACATACCAAGAAGCTATTAGACATCAGTTTCTGCGGCAGGTGGAAATTAGTGTTACTGGTGGTACACACAGGCAGGGAAACCCAGTGGCTCTGGCTGAAATAAGTTCCATAGGAGCTGTTTGACACTTATTGAAGTTACAAATGCATAGAAATGATGCAGTTAGCTCCTCATAGTGGTACGATTTGAGACATCTAGGCTGTAGAACCAGTGATGAATGAAACAATAATCAAAGCTATAATTTTGAATTTTTTCCTATTCTTTTCCTGCTCCAAGCCAGATCAGCCACAAGACAAATGAAGAATCTGCCTTCTTCTTGAGTGGGAAGCCTGAGCATCAGAAAACAACCCTCTCATCTCCCTATTTAATATTCGTGACTACAAAGGCTAAAAAAAGAAGTCTAAAGAGCGTATGTGCTGCTGCTGCTGGCTGACATCAGTCTGAGTTAGCTGTCATTACTAAACATTTTTCTGGAGAACTACTGCAGCCTTTCCCAGATTTTTAAGGTCTGCCTTTTCACTTCAGATAAAAATATGATGCTTGCCCTAAGTAGGAGGAAGTAACTACGAATACCATAAAAGTTTAAGTTTATTTGAGAATAAAATTCTATGAAACAGGTTTCAAAAGAGGTCATGTTTAAAAAACAGTTTCCAAGTTCTCACTTACTTCTGGCTGTTTTATTTCACTTAGTGGCAAATCAAATCACTTTTCTTGTGAATCGAGTTTTTAATGTTTTAGATCAAATAATTCAAGTAATTCAAATAACCAAGTAATTTGATTAAATCCTCCTTTTAGTAAGCTGCACGGACCACGGCAGCTTTCAAGTCAAAGTTATTCCCTGAGTAAAAAAAATTCCACTGTGCAAATTTCTTCCTTAAAGTGAATTTTAAATCGACTGTCATAGATAATTTATCTATGAAAGCCCAAACAACCAAAATCATTAAATATTCCTTTGTGCTAACAAGGTAAGTCACCAGATTCCTAGATCAGAAAAAGACTCCATATACCAGAGATGACTGCTAATTGTTGGTGTCAAAAGTAGCCAACATAATATTGTTCTACTCAGCAACTGTGTGTGCTCCCAGGGATAAGTCAAGCAACAGTTTACGTCATATGCCTCTTATAGAGAGTTCTACAAATATTTGATATAATAATATTTTCTACCAAGGCAGGTCTCTTCCCTTAAGGAAAAACTGTATTCCTTTTTTAAATGTGAGCTGTTAAGTATGCTTGTTTTCTAAAACTTACATTTCAATAACAGAAAACGCTTCTTTCTCCTTCTTTCCTTTACTGAATCATGCAGCCATGACAAAGGAAAGGGTATTATACTGGTTGTTAAATTCTTACAGTTTCTCAATAAAACGCTTGTAATGACATGGGAAAACTTACACCAATATACTTAAAAGAGCTTGAACAATCCCAACTGCTTAATAGCACACCAGCTCCACTCAGCTAAAATTAATATAAGCGCTGAGCGTGCATCGTCTCTTCACTCCTACATGCGCCATTTCCATAGGATGATGCGTATAGCTGGCCCAGACCGCAGGAGTTGAAGAGGGATTTCCTGGCAGTCACCAGCACTGCGTGCCTGTGGCCAAACCATGCTCCGCGCAAAGATGGGAAGGCTCCGGCAGGGCCGCACAAGTTTGGAAACATAGCATTATTTTCCCACGGAGCTTGAGCTCATAAGCACAGATTGTATAAGTAAGGCAAATGTCTGCATGGGTGCTGCAGAGCCAAAAGCATCGCGTGGTCTCGCAGGGCTCATCAGCCCCTACTCAGGACTTTTCTGCACTATACAAGTCATCCGAGTGTTCGTACCTCACTCCTTGTACCCAAGTTACGCAGGTTCTGTTAATGCCAAAGATATTCCAGCATCCTCTAGATCCCTTTGCTTCCTGTGCTCCTCAAGGTGGTGGCCGATGTGTGTGCCAGAGTGTGGTTTTATAAGCACTGGAAGGCCATTACATCATACATGTTAGGTGAGAGAGTATTTCTGCAGTGCAGTCTTTCAAATTTTCAATCTAACAAGGGACTGTGCAGTGAGCAGATACAGTTCAGCATAAGAACTGGGGCACTGCCTCTTCCTTTGCCATCTCAAACTTTTTGAGAACGTTTCCATAAGCAACGTTCACTAAAAAGTACCATCTTATATATTAACAAACCGAAAAGTAACACTGAACATAAAACAAAATAGAAGGAAACCTTACCCTGCAGGACAATTGATTTGAAGACTACGTAAAAAACACTGAGCAAAACTATCATATTGCTAAAATAGTAAGAATTCTTGTAAGATTTTACTTAAGATTCAAGATGTATTTTTCCAGTGTGAACATGAAAAATCCCACCCCAAGTTCTAACCTTGATTTCCTTTGTCATGAATTCACTTAAGTCCTAATGTTCAATTAAAGCTCCAGTTCTGAAGTGATTTTGCAATAAATAACTGCACAAAAACAAAGCCCCTCCATTTATTACCTAAACCTGCCAAAATCTTCTGAACATTGAAGAGCATATATAGTGTGAGTATCTCCCTAAAGCAGACAGTATTTCCCTAGTGTAGCTAGTTTAACAGCTTTGAATTGAACATCCTCTTCCTCTCCTTCCTCACCCTCCTCCCTACCCTAAAAGCACCTTATCTATATTAACTATGGCTTACTTTAAATGTAATTCTCCGAGTCACCTTTAGAATAAAATATGCAATATCCAAATTAAATTGTCATAATTTTTATTTGATTTTTCTGATATTAGCAGGAAGACAATGCAGCTGCTTTAGTTACTAAAGCATTTGATTTTTATTTAAAGGCAAGTTTCAGGGCTTTGCTAGCGAGCATGGAAACTCAAAGTAAGTCTTAACGATACTGCATTTTACTGGGGTGAAAAAGTGCTCAAAAATAGAAGCTCATTAGTGTTGTTCTTCCCCCTCACTTTTCCAACCACCTCACTTATAGAAAACAGACTCTTCTTGTTAGTGGACTCTCCAGGTGACATGTTTCAGACAGATGCTCCGACTTTTTCTTTAGAGTGTAAAAAGATGTTCTTGAGTGATAAGACAGACTCCCAGGCCTCTTTCTTTTCTATACAGAAGGAAAACTCTGCCAGACTGCTTCTGGCATAACCCCATTCGTTTTTCTTGCAGTGACAATGAATGAAAGCACCCTCTGGGACACGGAGGGTTCAGTTTCCTTTGGCAGCGATCTTGATTGGAAGCAAACCTGAATTATTTCACTTCAAAGCAACAAATAAGAAATATTTTTCTGGAATGTCCAAACATGGACATTAACCAAAACCAACCTTCAGAAGAATCCAAAAGCATAAGATTGCTTAGCAAAAAAAAAAAAAAAAAAAAAAAACCACCACAACAAAAAAACCCACCCCAAAAAACCAAACCAAAACAACCAATTTGATACTAATTCAAGTGTAGAATGGTCAACAGTACTTTAAGATCCAGTGGGTGGGGTGGGAGGGATGGCACAAGGGAAGGGTATCACATAACATTCAGTAATGCCACCTGACAAACTTATAATAGATACTCCTAAAGGGGAAAAAAAAGTATATGACTGTCACGGCTATCTTAAAATATATAGTCTGTTCTTGTTACACAAAACTTCATTACAACAATCACTACTTCTCTATCAAATTATTTCAGTTAAGTGAGATACTTCACATTGCTGTACTCACCTGTGTGTGCCCTCTGCAGTCCTACCATTTGAACTAGTATTAATTACTAGTGTGGCTTTTCTGAGGCAAAAATCCATGTTGTTTTTCCACATATATAAATAGCAAACACTGGTTTAACTAAAGCTTTTTTTAACAATTTTATTAACATTAGTAGGCTTGAGAAACAAAATTAAGTTTTATTCAAAATGTAAAGATTAAGCTAATTTTAAAATGTTAGTGCTCAACAACAGTAAGAAGCAACAGTCCTTTTTCTGCCTTTTTTGTTCCATATATTTATTTATAAATAACGCACTGAAAAAAATGCCTTTGTCTTTTGAGGCACCTGCAAAAGTTCTAATAATATTCTTGTATCATTACAATTAAAAGATGGAGATAGCCTCCTAGTTCAAGTTTTTACCCATTCACATACCACATACTCCACTCAAAATATTATCTGTGAATGATACAAAGGATAATCCTGCTCTGAACTAGCTCATCATTATTATGATGCAATATCACAGACAACAATTCCCAAAACTTTTAAGGGCATGGAAGGGGAAAACACCCACCAAATAGAAGTCTTGCACAAAATGCATGCGTGTATATAAATACCCAAAGTTGCTTTAGGAACAAGCAGCAAGATATAGCAAGGACAAATGCAAAGTTTATTCCACGTACGCTACAATTAATCAACATATTAGGGAAGTATCAAAATCTGTACTATTAACATATGGCAACGGTTTTATTGTTACAATACATTGCAATAGATTAGCTCAACTGGAAAAGGCTTTTAAGCTGCAGACAGTGCAATTGCATTAAATCTTAATTCTTCTGGGTCACGTTCCATGAATTTCTTGCAAACTTCTATTGCATCCTAGGGAAAAAAAAGTAAAACACAAACAAACAAACAAACCAAAACAAGAAACACTATACTTACTAAAAAAGCCCACAACTGAAATACGAAGTTATGCTCTATAGAAAATATGCTCCAAATGGATTTCTCCATAGAGGTTTACTAAATACTGTGACAAATCTACATAAACTGTACGTCTGATCTGAGTTACCACCACTATTCAAGATTATTTACAGCGCGCATATGGGCAGCGGAAGAGAGCAAAAGTCGCATGCAGAACCTTAGCAACAATGACTGAATATTGCAACAGTTGTGATGCTTGTCTGACTTTCTAAATGCATCTCTGAAGTTTGCCTTTACTATTGCTGCTGCATTCTGAATTTTTTCCTTTGTCTCAAGATGAATCTAAGATGCGTGGGGTAAGCGAAAGATTATAAGTAATTCCTTCATCTAGCTTTAGGGTGCAATCTGGAGAACACATGTTATCAGTAAAAGGGAAAAAAGCCACATAGGAAAAAAGGAAAGCTTTATCCAGCTTCTCCCCCTGCCCAAACAAGCACAAATTGTATGCAATCTTTACAGACGTTAGTATATGCTACTAAATTATAAAAGGTTTATTTTGGTCGGTTTCTTAGTTTCTCTGGTTTCCTCTTTTTGTAAAGCTAATCCAGTCTGGATACCATTAAAGTCAGATCTATGCATTGCCTTCTCATCATTCTTTGGGGGTGACAGTTTACCCTTCCAATTCAGTGTATTCCTTCCCAATTAATTTCTTAACTAAACAGCTCCTGAGACAAAGAAACACCCAAAAGAAGCCATGAAACTGGAGAAGAATGATTAATAGTAAGTGTCAGAAAAGAAATCAACCTCTGTCTAGCATGGCACCTATCAAACTATAACTAAACCAAAGGACAGAGAATGAAAACTTATCTTAAGTTTTCAATCTGATGACTTCATCTCATGTACAATTTGAAAGGAGCAGAGATATATGGAAATCTCAGCACAGAAGAAAAGTCAGTCTGATCTGCTATGGTCAACCCTTCCGACTTTTCTTGTTACCATGTTATGATAGTCTGTCATCCAGAGTCACAACACAAGCGCTCTGAAATATCTGTTTTAAAACTGAGTAAACCTAATTTAGTATCACCATCCCACTCACTCTATTCCTCGTCCAACCATAAATACAGCAAGACTTTTGTATAAGTATTTTTATATGTATTTTTAATAAATTTTGTGTAAATATAGCAAAAAATTTGTATAACACCATTTAAGAAGGTTTTCTATTCCTACCTCTAAAAAAGAATCATCACTAGTTTCCCCATGGTTTATTGGAAATGGCTTGCGCCCATCTGTTGAAACACAAAGCAGGATTGAACAACACATTTATAAAATTAGAAAAGCTTCATTTTTCCAGTTAAAACTATTTGAACAATTTTTTTGCTCTTCATTTACAAAAATGCTACCCCATTTTTCATAAAAGAATCCCAAACGCAGCTAGCTATTCCCAGGTCTCTCCTCCACTGTTGACTGCTTCAACAGGTATCATTATGTACAGTCTGCTACATTAAAAAAAAAAAATCCAATCAAACCAATGAAATACTTTTTAATATTTTATCTGAAAACTTTAAGGTTATACGTTGTGATTGCTTTGGTGCTGGTATAGTACTTCAGCTTTTTAAGTAGAGAAGTACAATTTCAACTGCACTTAATGGATTTACCCAGACAGGCAGCTGTATGTCTGCGGTCTATGACAGCTGTGATCAGGGACTCCACAACAGACGAGAATACCAAACCCACCAGTTTGAAAAGTCTGGCCTAACTGAAATGGTACTCTCATTTAAAATAAATGAGCAAACTAACCAAATAACTTTAAGTACCAAGTGCTTTTACAGCATTCAAAAATGGTTGCTATAGTAGATTATTTTTCCTCCCATTTGCAATATAAGAAAGCTATCGTTCTCAGCATTTTAAAAATAATTTTATTCATAGAAATATGTTTCAGGTTACTTGTGAAGAGCTTACAGTATGAGAACATGTCAGGATACTCTAAGTATTTGCCAAACCAAATTCCCTCTTGTCTCTGTCCTCCCTTTCAATGGCTCCTTCCTCCCCAAAGATTCCATCAAAGTTGACAATAATTCCAAACTACATTTTCCACAACTAAAAATAGACTCAGTGTTAGAAAACTTTCGGATTTACATGAACAAGAGGTTGTCCATTATTCTAACAACCACGATTGAAGATACAACAATGGAAAACCCTCAGAACATGGCAGGGAAATAGAACTGAATGCCCTGTACTGTTGCAAGCTAAGTTTGATACTTTTTTTTTTTTTTTTTAACATACATCTTAGCAGAACAGCATTTTAATTTCATGTGCCTATAAATAATGTGTTTTCTACGGCAAAAACATCATAAGCATTTAACATTCATGCTCTTCCTCAGCATTTTCTGCCTGCAAAAGCCCACATGCTGGCCACAGTGACTGAAGCCAGTGAATTAATTGAAAAACCTTCTCCCATTTTCCTACTTTTAAGTATGTTTTGCTTTCCTCCGCTGGTACAGAGAGAAGTTATTTTAAGAACAAAGGAAATAGTAGTATTAGCATTCCACTGTACAGTGGAGCTAAATGCCTCTATTTTTTTAAAAAAAAAATTCAAGCAAAAAGTTCAAGTGGGTTTTATCTTGCATTGTACTTACAGAAAATAGCTAAACACGGTTATCATAGTCTGTAGTGTGCTTTTTAAACAGCAAATTAATTCACAATGAAAAGGTAACATGGAAATAGTAGCACACAACTAGAAGAAGAGTGAGCCATCCATCACGCCTTAAAATTTAGAATCATAAAATATTTATATTCCATCCTACAGCAGTTGCCTCACTATTTGATCTAGCTTGCTGACAAACATACAGCATCATAAAAATACAGAAATGTGTGCCTATTGTTCACGGCTCACCACTGATAATATCCTTTAGATCACCTTAATATTAGCATAAGCACTTCTTATATACTACTTATGCCCCAGGTTATGATTAGTTGTCACCTGTTAAGGGCATTGCTTAATTACATGTTGATTTTCAAAAGGCGAAAATGTTCTCACTATAAAAGACTGAAAAAATTATGTTAGGAAAGACCAGTGACTTGCAGTTTTTAAATCCTGATCAACTTGCTAGTTTTCTGAAGTGCCTGCAGCAAAACCTAGTTACCCAGCAACATGTTTAAGATTGGAGTCATTAGAGAGTATCTGAGCAGAACTTGGTGCTACAATCTGAAGAGGGAAAAGATATAGCTATAATTCAGAAAACAGACTGCTGTTTTAGAGTTAACTGTCTAGTGACCACAAAAAGGTAGAAGAAAAAATAACCAGCCTATAACAAATGAGTTATATTAGTATCTGCTAGTATTCTGACTACATAATTTCAGTTTAAACTGTATCATGCTATTTAATAATATAGTTAAAACTTCTAAGGTGGCATACAGTTCATTTATTAATTCCCTAAACAATTCAGGGACATAAAAGTACCTTCCTCTCTGAAACTTTGAGTATTTATCAATTCTTTCTTGCTTCCTGTCCTTGTAAATCATAAAGTTTAGAGGCAGCCCAGTATTCCGTACCATTTTATCTTAATAGAAGGGAGTTGAGTGAAGGAGAATCCAAAAAAACAATGGGAAGGAGGTTGCAATTGTTTGACAGAATCCCCTGCCCCCCCCAGACACTATGATGCAGTTGAAAAGAACCTAAGCCCTACATTAAATCAAGTAATATCTCTCAAACTTTGATAGTTAACAACATTACTACTTGTATTTGTTTCAAACAAATGGAGAGGATAAAAAGTGTTCTTACCCAATTCGTAGAGATGACCACCTACATTAACTAATGCAATAAAGTGAAGGTCTACTTTTTCATCTATACTTGGTGCCTGCAAGACAGAACAACACAAAAATAAATTGTGTTCACTAAAATTCTTATCACAATATGATCAATGAGAACATATCATCATAATACGCAAAACACCTGGCCAAGAGAAATCACGAGTGAGAAGCACATTCTGGATCTATATAGAATGGCAGAAGTCACACTGCAGAACATTTTGGAATACAAAGAAGCTTTCTGCAAATATACAGATCAGTAAGAATCCTTTCAGTAAAGTATATGGAAGTCTTTCCAATTATAGCTCTACATAAAAGCCTTCTTTTTCATTAATGAACTAGAAGTAGTATCAGCTCAAATATATTAACACTAAAAATAGATATTCATGTAAACAGCAACTCCTTCACTAACCCATCTCCCATAACAAAGTGACGCAGGTCTGACCGCTGAACCTGTCATATTTTAAAACTGAACAATATTAACACGTTCAAATAAATTTTTCCTCCTAAGCCACATATCGTACAGTTAACCTGTTCCCTCCTTACAGGCAGTTGGGAGTATCTGTTTCTTTCAAGGTACAATTCACACATCGTAAGTGGGGAGGAGGGAAAATAACCAGACACATGCCTAGAGCTCTGTTTGTCTCAGAGACTTCTGAAATTTCGTAGTGGCATCATAGGCATCATCACTGCATACCAAGAAAGGACTTAAGTGCAGTGACAGATTCAAGTGACATGACACAAAAAATGGTTGCAGTTGGCAGAGATCTCTGTAGCCTGATATTTTGTTGCCAACTACGGCAGTAGTTGTTTTCTTTTTCAGAAGAAAACAGGGCATGCACAGCGTGGTACTCTGCCAGCACACGTTCCCAGCATCCGCTCAGCAATGGTTTTTGAACTTCTGAGCCAAAAGGTACATCGCCATTGTTGTGTTCGATAGCAGTTGATGGTCTTATTTCCTCATCAGTCTGCAACTGAGCCCCAATCCACAATTTAAGAAGATACTGCTGAAGGAATGGGAAAAAGCACCTCAGTTTTTCTTAAACTGTCAAGAAACTGACTTCCGTGAAAATTTACTTCATGTAGTTTTGTTCCATCTTGTAATTACTGTTAGCCTTATGTGACTTTCTTGAAGTGCCCCAAAAATCTAAGAATTTGCCAGAAACGGATTAGAGTGTAAAATGAGTTGTAGAACCTTAGTTGCATCATGTTTTCAAGACTGGGTTAAAAGTTTCCTTCTCCCTGATGGTCATAAAAAACTTTAAAAGATGATCTAAACTGAAGAAATGTAGCAAAAAAACAGAACAATAAAGTGAAGGACAAGAAGTCACCGTAAGTCCTTCAATACATCAAGAACGCCAAAGGACACAGCATTACAGAGGAACTGCCAACCGCTGACAGAAATTCTATGTAGTAAGCCCAAAAAATGAAAAAAGAGAAAAACAAAAACCCACACAACCTCCCCTCACCCTCATTTGAGATTCATCTCCATGACCAGTTAAAGTTTGAAAGACATAATACCCTGTTTCATCTCTGTTTCAGAGCACCTAGAATGGAGCAAGAGCAATCCTGCTGCTGAAGATGAGGTGGCTATTAAAGAAAGGAGAGGACCTTTGCACCAGAACTCCAAGGAATCTTTTTCTCCTATGGCATACGGAATTGCCTTTGAGAATTTGGCTTTACAAAAGGCCAAACAGAGCCAGGGCTTAGGAAAAAAATAAAACAAAAAAAAACACCAAAACCAAAAACCCAAGCAAAACAAGGATCCTCTAGAGTTTGGCTACCCCAGTTGTAAACTCCCAAGGACCACAGGTTTCTGTAACTTCCTGAAAACGCACAAGACAGTTGCTGACAAACAAAGGGAATAACAACAAGGTACCATCGATCAACCAACAGTTTAGAGGCACCTAAACTGTGATGCTACAAAAGTGTGCAGAAAGGCAAAGCTGAGAGTCCTTGCCAAATCCTACATTGCCACCTAATCCCCATGTAGAGATACGACTTCAGGGCTAGTCACTTACCAATTAAACTTACCAACATGGAAATCTGGGCTGAAGGAATGTCAGGGTTAGGGGAAAGACTAGTGCCAGTTAGTCTCACTTTAGGAAGGAAATAGCTTGGCATTTAAAAGCTCGCATCTGACCATACGCTACCTGGGCTCAAATTGACATTAACCAGAAAAACTCAAAGTATCACTATTTCAGAAGACTTTAAGATGTTCAAGATTTGGTTTTGATCACATTTAGAAGAAAATACAGTTGTCTCTTTGACCATTTTGAGTGTTGTGTTCTTTGTGCCAGCTTCTAATAAACACCTTTTCTATAGAGGGACACTTGGCATGCTTGGAATGCTGAGCCTATATACAGCTAGACGATGGATAGGGAAGCCATCAAAAAAGAGCACAATTAACTTTTCATAGAGTTTACTTGAAGACAGTGCTGCTCCTATAGAATCCTGCTGCGTTTTTGCACATGCCCGATCTAAATAACATGCTTCCATTAAGTGCTGTTGCCACAACCCGTGAGAAATGTTGTTTTTACATTTTTAATTCCCCAACTTCATAGAAAGAACGAAAAGTGCCACGCCATTATTAAAGTTTCTACCACAAGTTCTAATGTAGACAGTCTCCTTCCCTTGTGATTTCTTTTCATCTAATGTAGATACTAATAAGTTTAGTACCAAGTAGATCTATTAAATTTCTTGAAAAATTAGGATTTCAATAGTTTTTGACAGAAAATTATTTGCATAATTATAAGCACAGAGAAACAATACAGTCTGAATAATCAAGATGACCTAAAACTCAATATTATAAAAACGTGTTGCTTATGACTTAGGCAAACAAGTAACCAGATTAAACTTTCCCAATGTGACGAATCCGATTCAAAATCCCCCCACTCCTCTCTGGTGGGGGGGGACAGACGGGACACAGGACATGCATTGCATATGCGTGCATGCACGCACACACACAGACATTAACACAAAAAGAAGCCTAGCCAAGCCAATTTCTGCTTCACTGGGAAGCTCTAGGAATTCTAATACTCGGAACCAGAAGATTTTAAATTTCAAAGGAATGAAAAGAAGAAGGAATGTCAGCTTCAGGGAGATGTCTTTTGTGGTCTCCTTGAAAAGCTACACCTTTGGCCAAGTTTTCAGCTTCTAATAAACAGTCTGTGTGAATGCTTAAAAAACCCAAGAGAACACAGCTTTAAGAAGTCTGACTCCATGTTCATCGCTAGGTAGTATTTTCAGAACAATTACAGAGGATTTTCTCTTGATTATTCTTCTTGTCAAAGACCACAGTAACGTGAACATCAGTCAAGTGTTGGGATGACCTGTTCCTTTAGATTTTTTCACTTAGAAGCCCACTAATGTGCAAAATCAGGCAGCAAATTTGAATGACCGCATGTATGAACCGAAAGACACAGGAGTCTAAATAAGATGATTGTCTAACCGTGATTGGGAAATAATCCATGGAATTCAAGAATCATTTTTCAAGTCTTCCAAAGACACAGTGAAGAGAATTTATATTTCTTTCCCATCCAGAAAAGACGGAAAGAAGACAAATACCAGCGTCTTCAGTATCTTACAGAAGCTTATGTTATGGTTTCAACCTTAGCATAAGGACTAAGTTTTGGTAGTAAGGGCTAGTGGACACCACTCTTCCAATTTATCTCTTCAAAAGAAAAAAAATAAAACCACCCTGAAAAATAATGACCAGCAGACTTGAAACTGACTTGAAGAGGAAAAATGCAAGAAGTTTAATGCTCAAAGTGATGGTTCTGATAACACCTTCTCAGCTGTAATCTGTTGTCAAGGTGTTGAGATAATGCTCAATGATAATAATAGAGTGTATCTTTATGAATACCCAGTCACATACACAAAAGTGACAGCCAAGGTTGTCATGCCCTCCAATTTTGGATCCACATTAAAAGCACCTGAATGATGAAGCCTTGATTTTTCAGATTATTTGACTGCCTTCTCTGCTAACCTGGGCATTCAAATTAAATAATAAACAATTGCTGACTGCCATGAGAAGTCACTTTTAATTGACTTGTCTCAGGTCAATACCCATTCATTTATGTTATCGAAACAACCCCTCTACATTTCTTCCTCTATTCTTCACTAGCAGATTTCCAATCAGTAGTTTTTAAAATGGCACTTCCCAAAGTTTTTACTATACAAATGATAACCCTTCCTACTCCCTCTTTTTGTACTGGAAAATTCCTTTATTTTACCTTTCATTACTGCATGCTGCCCTCTCCTCATGAACTACAATAGTCTTCTTTCTTGTTGCTGCACTAACCTTCAGAAACCTCAATGTTACACCCCTATATCACTGTTTACCCAATCATATCAGCTCGTCTAATAAAGTGCATTTCATCACCTACACAGTTTATCTTGCTAATGCACTTAAACCATTATCCCAATCTAAAAGTCAGTGCTCAGTTTTCATGCACATTAAAAAAAAACAGGTTCAGTGTTACATGTTATTTCCTTATACTTGCTCTTGAGAGAAAGGAGTGAAGCAAGAAGTCTCACAAACCAGTTTAGTAGAATGCTTCGTATTGCAGGTACTGACAGGGAAAGGAAAAAACACCATTTCTGTTAAGTCAGGAAATTGGCATCAAGAGTCTGTCAGGTTCTGGAAGAAGAATGGTAAAGACTGAGCAGGAAAATACAATCTTGCAGAACCCTGAGAAATAAAAAGTTTCAAATGCATCTAACTGAAAAATCATGACAAAAGTAACTAAAGTCTAAGAGAAGAAAAAAAACGTAGGGGTTTAACTATACAGTTTCACTCACAAGAAGTTACAAGAAGCCACAGAAAAACATATTAAAAAATAAAGTTCACACAACAGGACATTAGGTATGGTTTGGATTCAATAAATTTTGAAGTAAAGGGGAAAAAGTGATGCAATTGCTATTGGGTAGATTAGGCATCTGTAATTTCCATTTTGAAGCATGGAACATGCTTGGGCAAATGTACTGTGTAGGCCTGTGCAAGGCATTTGAATCCTGGTTAAAATACTGCAATTAAAACGAAGAGCAC